AACAACAACAACAACACCCTTTTCACTAATTTCCTATTACGGCATCACCCCCTGCCTGACCATTCTCACCATCGCCAACGGCAGGCAACAACAAGTCGCAATACAACTCTTCCTTTATCCCCATATCGCTCATCGTCTTCCGCGATACGCTTGGGAAAGCTATCATCGTTTCCGGTCTTCTAGTCTTTCTTATACAGACCCTTGCCTCCCCATTCATGCCCAGAGACGGTTTCCCATGACCATGTCCGTTCCCCTGAGTCTGTCCTACGCTGGACCGATCATGTAAGCTCCAATTCCTTGCCCAAACCTTACCCAGTACGAAGAGACTCCCTGCCTCCGAGTCTCTTTCCCAGCCCGTAGACCTCCGGGTCTGTTATGCTCCAATCGTCCGTTTCTCCTTTGAAACGCGTCGCATGTTTGACGTTGTGGACGAGGTTATTCGTGATCAAGACAACGACAATCAACGCTATATTCATTACTTCGCTAATGGGTATCTGACGCAACTTTGCCTAGACCAGACAGAAACTCTCGACCGGCTCGCTCCTCAAGGCACATAAACCTGCGGTTCCTCCCCATCCTTCCCCGGCTTGACCTTGCCAGCCACCACCCGCCTATTATGAACAACATAAATGACGATTTGCATCGCGGCAAAGAAGATGCCAGCCGACACCATGCAAATCTGGATTAACAGACCCTTTTCGTAACTATTCACAGACCATCTCGTTAGCCAAAAAACCCAACAAACTCATCACAGCACTGCGAGCAAAAAGGAGTGGGATACTCACAAAGGCCCATCGCCCGCCCGATAAAACTGCGTACCAGCCATCAACCCCGTAATAGCACTCATAACCCACATCGCAATCCCCACGCTCCTCTCCCCTTCTCCTCGACAATTCAACTGCACCCACGTGTTATGCACCGGGTGATAACCCACAGCAAATGCATTAACAGCCGTCCATAGTCCCCATCTCGACCAGCGTCCCAGCTCCTCCATCTCTTTACCCTGCTGCACCTGGCGACAAACGATCAACACAACAAGGTAGCACACCTGCGCAGCAATCACCGTTGCTCCTCTCCGGTTTGTGCGGTCGGAAAGCCAGGCGAAGAAGAATACGACGATGAGAGACAAAAATCCGCCAACGCAGGCAAGCGCGTTGGCTGAGGTGCGGGACCAGCCGAGGGATAAAAGAATGGAAGGGGTGTAGGTTGTCAGAGAGGACCACGTGGAGAAGACGGCGAAGGTGGAAAGGTAGTGCGGCCAGCGGCGGTAGTGGGTTATGGTTTTCCATACCAGTGAAGGGGGGATACTGAGGCCGCGCTCGGTGCTCCTCTTCTTTGGAGGTGACTGGGATTCGGTTTGGTTGAGGTCGGGGGTTTGTTTGCTTGGGTTCGAGCTGGTGGGAGGTTGTTGGATGAGAGGGAGATAGGCTGCTGGTGCCGTGGAGGACATGATCTTTCTCGAGGCGACGGACGAGAATGGCCGAGTCGGATGGGGAGAAGCGGATTAGACCTGGAGAGAGAAGTGGTCGTGGGTTGCGAGGAGAGCCGGGGAGGAAGAAGAGGAGGATTATGGAGACGGAGATTGTGAAGAGACCTTCCACTGTGAGTTCGTTAGCAACCATCACCACCACATCACCGCTCAAGAACAACCAGAGAAGAGGGCACTCACACAAAAACAACCACTGCCACCCCCTCATCCCGTTGCCCACTCCCCGTCCATCCAACCTCAATATCCCCGCCCCCAAAAGTGGACTAATTGCATTCCCCCCAAACATGCCAAAAAACAACACCGCCACTCTCTTCCCCAGCTCTTGACTCCGATACCAGTTACTCAGCGTATACACCGCACCAGGTATGTACCCCGCCTCACACAACCCCAGCACCGCTCTGCTCACCAAAAACCCTTTCTTATCTCTAATCAGCGGTTGCAAGCTCGCTACCAGACCGAAAAGAAATACTTGGGCGGAAATCCATTTCCGCGGTCCGATGCGCTGGAGTAACATGTTGGACGGTATTTCGAGCAACACGATGCCGATGAACATTAGTTGGTTTCCTAGGTTGATGGTGTTGGTTGATACCCCGATGGAAGTGTGGAAGCCGTTGGTTAGGGCTGAGGCGATATTCATACGGTCCAGCTGGAAGACTAGCAGGCCGAGGAAGAGGAGGGGGAGGACTGTGCTGTCTGCTCTGTTGTGGTTTGTTAGCAACGGGAAGTGAAGACGAGGGAGGGGAGGTGAGAGTTCCAGTATACTAACTTTCGAACAGCACGAGCTTCGGCTTTGGGATCCAATTCTGGCTCTGGCTCGACGGTTCCCGTTGAGGACTCAAAGAATGTCGATTCTGGTGGTGTTGTTGAGTCTGGATAGGGAGCCTTTTCGGGCTTTTCTGAGTATTGGTGTTGAGGTTGTGATTGGGGCATGGCTGCGGTTGGGGTCGTGAAATCCAGGTAGGTGCTGAAGTGTGTCGCCAGCGACGGTTGATGTTGGATCCAGGTACCCTTGCAGTCGACACTCGAACACTCGACGGACAATCAGGGTCGAAAAGAATCTGAAATGACAAGATTGGGGAAGGGTAAGAGAAGCATTATACGATGTGAGACTTCCCCTAACTGTTAACCTCCATCAGATCGCCATCCACGAACGAGCTTCACAACTAACACGTGTTTCAGCCATCGACGGTGATATCACTTCACCGCATACCTCCAGTCTACCTACCACGTGCGGCACAAGGTTCGGCAGATGCTCTCTACAGTATCCCTGAAGTCCAGGTACCAAGAGTTTGGGTTTGGTAGCGTCGTTGACGTGATCATGCAACAGGATGATGCGTTGAGGTCCCATCCCTTTGGGTAAGGTCTCTTGAGGCTGACGTCTGGCACTGACGGACACTCGGCCACAACCATCCTTCCCAAACCCCGAAGACAATACGAGCGTCAGTGTCTATCTCTCTCACTATCGGAAACCTCTAGACTGAAACTGAAAAGTCACAGACTTGTTGTTCAATCTCCAGTCCTAAACTGTACACGTTCTGTGCCACCTCATGGGCGTTATCGACTGGAGTTCCATCCGTAACAAGGAGGAAACGACACGAGGTGAAGTGCAACCGACAGAAGCCAGACTTATCCAGCGAAGCTCGGCCGAGAGACAGCATTGCACAATACTGTAAATGACAAGCTTGATCAACATTGAAGAGACTGACATCAGCCTAGAACGGAGTCGAAGAGGGGCCAAGGACTGGCGACGAGTTACCACGGGACAAACCAGTCCTAGCGCAGGACATTGAGACTTTCGAATATTGACGATCTCAGATACGATCGGTCACATCATCGGTAATGTACAGTAGGTTCTTCGTCCATTTGCCCGGATTCCGGAAGCCATATCACGAACATCACTTACACGGGACGGGCTGTTAGTGGCTTGTTAATGGCTTGTTAGCGACCAGTTGAACACTGCGACGTAACGTGCGGTTCTGAGTATTTCAAGTGAAAAAAGTCCTCTGTTCCGAAGGATAACTCTTTCCAGCGCACATCACCAACAAAAAATGAATCTTGTGGTGGTAAATATCCCCACCTGATGATGATGTATCGGCCGTCTGGATGGCGTGATATAACACAATCAGCGCCAAGCCAGGGGTTCAACCGTTAACGACGCCGAACGTGTGGATCACTGCCGGCCGCGGAGACGACCGCGCTAACCCACACGGGGACGGCTTATAGCGTCTAAGTCCCGATCGGGCCAGTTTATCGACAACGATGGCTGGATGGACGGCGCGGCGCGGTCTCGGGTAGGAGGGGTTCAACGAACGAACGTTTCTTTTTTTTGCCGATGATCTGACTTTTGAAGTTGTCTTATATCCGTCCCTGTCGTCCCGCTTTCTTTTTTTTGTTGCCGGTTTTATTATCTGTCTTTTTCGTCGCTCTCATTCACTGGGGAAGGAAGGTTTGCCAAAGACACCCAACAAGATGTCGAGGATACAACAACAAACAAAGAAGCCCATCAAGAGGGTGGCCGTAATCGGCGCGGGCCCTGCCGGCGCCATTGCCATTGATGCCCTCGCTCAAGAAAGGACGTTTGATCTCATCCGCGTGTTTGAGAGACGTGAAGGACCGGGAGGATGCTGGTGAGTTTATGGTCACTCGTTCTCACCCTTTCGAAGTCATCTTATTGACCCATCCCCAGGATCGGCGACGACAACCGCCCACAACCCCTCACGAGCTTCGCCTCTCTTACCTCCCGCACCGCCGACCCACCCGTTCCCATCCCGCACACCCTCCCCGCCCTAACCCCCAAGCTGGACCAGCCGCGCTTCACCGAATCCTCCGTCTACCCTTACCTGGAAACCAACGTCGACGCCATTCCCATGCAATTCAGCCAGGAACCTTTTCCACCAGAAAAGAGTCAGTTTTCCATCGACATGCACGGTCCCAACACGCCGTTCCGCCACTGGAAATCCGTAAGGGGGTATATTGAAGGCCTGGTAAACCGGAACGGGTACCAGGATCTGGTGTCGTATAATACGACTGTCGAGCGGGTGGAGAAGGTCGGCGACGAGTGGAAGATTACCCTCCGCAAGGAAGGACAGCAGAAGGATTACTGGTGGACGGAGTGGTTCGATGCCGTGGTGGTGGCTAGTGGCCATTATTGGGTGCCCTGGATTCCGCAAGTAGAGGGCTTGGAGGAGTTTGAGAAGATGAGGCCTGGGAGTGTACTGCATAGTAAACATTTCCGGGGGAGGGACTTGTATAAGGGGAAGGTATGTCATCTGTCCCACTTTCTGTCTCCCAATTCTTCCTTCTCATGGCCGACCATACTAATGGACTCACCGAAAAAACAGAAAGTAGTAGTAGTAGGCGCCTCCGTCTCAGCCGCCGACATCGCCTACGACCTCGCGCACAGCCGCGTCGCCCAAACCCCCGTGCACGCAATCACAATCGGGCACAACTTCAACGGCTACTTCGGCGACGAAGCCTTCCGACACCCGCGCATCGAGAACCACCCGTCCATTTCCCATGTCTGCGCCAAAACCCGCACCGTTTTCTTGGTAGACGGCACCTCCATCCCCCAGGTCGACCACATCATTTTCGGAACGGGTTACTCATGGACTATGCCCTTCCTGCCGCAGGTACCCATCCGCAATAACCGCGTGCCGGACTTGTACCAGCACGTGGTCTGGCAAAAGGACCCTTCCCTTTTGTTTGTCGGTGCCGTTGGCGCGGGCTTGACGTTCAAGGTTTTTGAGTGGCAGGCTGTTTACGCTGCTAGAATTCTCGCTGGTCGTGCACAGGTTCCTGAGGTAAAGGAGATGCGGACTTGGGAAGAAAACAGAATTAGAGAACGGGGTGATGGACCGAGGTTTAGTTTGATTTTCCCGGATTTTGAAGAATATTTTGAGACGTTGAGAAGATTAGCTGGGGAGGGAGAGACGGCTAGGGGCGTGGGGAGGGTATTGCCTAGGTTTAGGCCGGAGTGGTTTAGGGCGTTTATGGAGGGGCATGATCTCAGGAAGAGGATGTGGAGGAGGGTTAATGAGGAGGATAGGATGGAGGAGGAGGGGGAGAAGAAGGTGTTGGAGGGGGAGGTTAGGGCGAAGTTGTGAGTCCGTGCAACGGGTGGGATGTGGGGTTTGGAATGGTATGACATTACGATGTTGATGTCTTGGATATGATGGTGTTTTGGATAGTAAAATGGAATGGAAATTGGACAGGACATGAATGGAAGTTGGCGATTGCGATGATGTCGTGCTGCCCGTGCTGGTGCGTGAAAGTGGCCCACAGGAGCTGAATGCAAACGCAGGCTCGCAGGGGAGGTATAAGGGATGCGTTATTAACAAAGCTTAACAGACATATACGGAGTTCAGGTGTACAACTGTTCAGGACAATTAAGCCAATATCCTATGCCCCACAATTGCACCATTGGTCCAGGTTGAAAGCTCCGGGTCCCGTCTCCAAACGGCCCGCCAACGCTTCCGGCTTCATCCACACATTGCCTCTCGGATACGATGAGACGGCACAACCGCCAAAGATAAACAAACAAGTGAGAAGATAATATGCCCCAACCGAGGACATTTCAACTGGATAAGGTATCGCGTAAAGAATCTCCTTCAATGTACCTACAGATCGACCTGCGTACCGACCGACCACGAGCCGTGCTTCGTGGGGGCTGCTAAAACCATCAACAACAAGAGCTAACATGGGCTTCATAACATATACCTACTTTACTGCACAGGAAACCAACAAGACCATGCGGACAGATAGAAAGCCAAATACTTGATCTCCAGTCCTTTCCCTTTCCCAGTGGCTACTAGGTAACAATGGTCATAAGACTCTATACTTTACTTTAGTTCTACAACCGAGGGAGGGGGGAGGGGGGGCATTGAATCTCTACACTTGACGACCCCCTGTAAATCCCAGGCCGACGTTAACCAAGAGTCTAAAGTTTATGAGACGGAGTGATAGAGTGGGGGAGCTACTTATGGGGGACCTGCTTGCTCGGCAAACAAAAAAACGTAGATAGGTATATCGACAAGGACCCGACGGGAATCAAACAGATTTGGTGGTCAGCCCCCCCCCCGGTTGTATAGTTGTATCTAATATTCAATAGACATCATGGATACAGGTAGTATTCCTAAAGCCTAAAGCTTGCTTTGGCGCCTCGAAAATGAGCAGGAAGTAGAAGTTGGTCAAGTGAACTTTTGGATTTCTTCGTCGAACTAATCCACTGCCATTGAAAGGGAGGCCGAAAGGAAGTGATCGTACATTTCGTACTACGTACTGGTAAAGTCAACTACCGCATCGGTTCTATGGAACAGCGGATGACCCTCCTGATGCTGGTTTCTTTTGTTGTTGCTGCCCGTGCTCCCCTTCGTCATCCCCTTCCTTATCCCCTTGTTGGACCTGCCCCTCCTCCGCGGCATCTAGATATAGCTCTTCATCCTCACCTTCTTCATCCTCACCTTCTTCATCTTCCCCTGCATCTGCATCTTCTTGACTTTCTCCCTCCTTTTGTTGCTGTGGTTCATTGTCGCCTGTTTGTTGTTCCTTTTTGTCTGATGTCAATGATGATGATACCTCTTCCGCTGGTGTTTGGTACGACTCCTCGATGTCCTCATCTTCTTCATTGTCGTCTTCCTCCTGTTCTCGATCTTGATCTTGATCTTGCTCTGGATCTTCTTCGTCTTGGGGGGCCTCCTTCGCTGGTTGCTGATGCTCCCCTTGTTCCGTTGCTTGTTCCTTTGCTTGTTCTTGTTCCCTTTCTTGCGCCTGTGCCTGTACTTCCCCTTCCTCTTCCTCTTCGCCTTGCTCATGTTGCTCCTCTGCATCATCTCGTGATCCATCATCATCGACTTGGCGCTGTTCCCCTACCTGCTGTCCCTCCTCATGCCCCTCACCATACCCCCCCTCCTCTTCCTGCGCATCTTCTGACCCATGTTCTCCACCCTCACCCTCACCCTCCGCCGGCGTCGGCGAGGTGGAGTTATCCCTCTCACTCTCTCCGAGACCATCGCTACTACCCTGATGCGACACCATCCCATCCCCTTGTCCTTGCCCTTCCTTCCGAGCCACATCAACACGTGGCGCTTTACCAAGATCGGTTTTCCACCCTTCTGCTTCCTGCCTTTCACACGGTCTGCACCCCTATCTGTATCCCATCAGGCGAATCTCTCGGTCGTATCCTCTGAAATCCAGGGAGATTCGTCGGTGGCGGTCCGGGTGGTCGTTGTGGGAGCGTGTGGTCCGACGCCGGTGGCGGTACCTTGGAAGTGATCATCGTACTCGGCGCCTTTGGCTCAGCAATCGGCCTCTGCATCTGTTCCTCCGTCCGTCTCTGCAGCTGCGCCTCCATCTGCTTAGGACGGAAATTGCTCCACTGCTCGGGCATTTTGCGCGGTTGATCCATCACTTTGTACATGGAGAACGCCACGGGGTTGTCCTTTCCAAAGAACTTGATGTACTTGAGCCACCCTTTACCGAAGACCTTGCTGTTCATGTCGATGTCCACCCAGCCTCTGTTTCTGCTGGAGAGATCCATGTCTAGTTCCACGTTGAACTCGCCTGCCCGTCGGCCGATCCAGTCGAAGAAGATGCGCATGGGAGGCACGGGTTCATAAGGGGATCTCCGTCGCGGATACTCGACGAAAAAGTCATCGCCTCGTCGTCGCTTCTTGTGGGGCATGTGTGGCAGAACCTCGGGGTCGTGGAGCAGGTAGGCTGATAGTTCGTCCAGCAATCGTTCCGATCGGGCGAGGATCATGGTGCCTAGGGCGACTTTGAGGTTGATGGAGGCTACCAGGCCGAAGCTGTCGACGGGCCAGTTGAGGATGTCGATGGTCATTTCGCCGGGCCGTCCCCCCCATCCTCCGTTTTCCAAGGCGGGACACTGGATCAGCCACGAGCCGACTAGTTCTTCGATCTCAAAGGGCTCATGCGCAAGCTGGGGGTTTGACTGTAAGAGGTCGGCTTTTTGCTGACACAGCTGGAAGTGAGGCCGAAGTGCCCATTCCCAGGTAGGGTTGCCTTGGATCTCGACCCTTTGAGGTGCCGCACTGGCGACTTGTTGGTGCATGGATGTCATTCTCAGGTGTTCGACCACTTGGAACGGCTTATCGCCCCAGCCGATGACCGTCTTGTCGATTCCGTTGCCGATGAAAGCCCAAACGCGGAGGTCTGGCACGCGAAGGACGGCCTGTGTCAGGAGATTCCTGATTTCGGGACCCCCAAACCATCCTTCGATGACGATGGGCTCCGGCGTCAACATGGGCATGGGGCGTCCGTACAAGCCGGTAAGCCAGTACTTGGAGATGAAGTAGTCGATGTGGAAATGGGCCTCCATGGTAGGCACATGGATGGTTATTGACGGATGAGAGGCCGAAATACTGGCAAAGGCCTCCTCGATAGCCCTCTCGATGCCGTACTCCTCCCAGCAGATGACGGACCAGAGGGGCATCATATGGGACCGCAAACCGGGAACGGCTTTGACAACCTTGCGGACGCCATCGTAATCGTTCAACTTGTGCAGTATGATGGGGTATCGTGACTTTCTGGGATCAGGCCGGCCGTTGACGCCCTTGAGGAAATACTTGGCCATGAAGAGGTCAAGACTGCAGTTGATCTCGTCGTTGGGAGTTTTGCATCGTGCAAAGGACTGCTGTTCCCAGAACCTGAAGGCTTCTTGGTACTGTTTGTAGATGCCCTTGAACTGTCTCCTGAGGTTGTCCTCGATGGTCAGAATGTCAGCTGGCGGGAGCTTGCCTTCCTTGATGGTTCCGTTACGTAGGGTGGTCTCTAGATCGAAGAACAAGTCCTGGGGAAGAGGCTCGGCGCGGAGGGGAGACTGGTGAACGGGGATGCCGTAGTGTATAAGTTGGGCGTGGAACCAGGCTTTGGCGACGGGTTCAACGGGCGGGGCGGCATTGGGATCACGCATGATCATTTGCAGGTTGTAGGGGGTTTCCCGCTTGAAGCCCAGGGCCTTGAAGCCGTCCTTGTCGTAGGAGAAGGGTCCATGGACAGCGGGTGTTGGAGGCATGGGCTTTGGACCTGGATCGGGAGGTGGCGGACAAAGCATTCCATAGAGGCCATTGGGGTGAGGAATTGGTGCTGGCCGAGGATGAATATTGGTATGAGGTCCGTTGTTCGTAGTGGTGTTAGTGTTGGGGTGACCATTTGCAGGTGGATGAGGTCCTGTTGAGGATGGGACTGAAGGATTTCTGGTGGGGGGTTGACTTTCATCAGATGAAGGGTTAGGACGGGTTGGCCGAGTTTGTTCTTGACTTTCATTTTGAGTCTCATGTCGCCGGTCTTTAGAATGAGACTGAGCGCCAGGCCCTTGGTTGTCGTTGTCTTGATCCTCCCCGGGTTGGACTGGAGCAGGAGTTTGGGTTTGAGACTCGAATGCTGGTGTTTCGCCATCGAAGAGAGAGTCGGCGTTGTTGTCGTTGCCGGCATTGGCTTCCGGTTGAGTCTCGGCGGCGGAGTCCTCCTGACCTTCACTCTCAGCCGCAGCCGTAGCCGTTGGACTTGGTGGTTTTGATGAGTGTTGTTGATCATTGGATGAATGAGAATCCATTTCCATGGTGTCTGGCTCCGGTTGGCGGTCGGTGGTGCAAGGTTCCATGGCTGTCGCGTGTGTGCCTACTATGTGTCATTGATTTCGCGTCATGTCGTTCAAAAAGGCCACCGCGTCCGTTCCCTGGCGAGCATATCGAATGGTGATGTTTTTGTCAAACTTGAGAATCAACAAACACAGAAAGTGAGCTGGACGATTTCGCGCGCGCGAATCCGCGATCGACGTTGAACGCTAGCGCATGGATTGTCTCGGCCGGCAATGCTTGTCCAATCAGTGGGTCCGCCCCGCAAATCTCACCCTTCAATAAGTTACTAACAGAAGTCCCAGTGTTCAGGGTTCCTGAGCTGTTAGTTTGTAAACGTATTGTGACAGCGCATGGACTCCAAATCTCCGAGACGGAAAAAGTACTCGAGACAAAACGTCAAAATGCGACCATCAGGGTACCACAACCCCACAGCAAGAATCGACTCAAGAGAGATGCAAGATTCCCGGTGGTAATGACAAGAGGTACTTTCGCCCCCGAGTCACCGGCGACCACTCGTCTTGTCATGCCCGAATCCCGACCTCATCGAAACCGCAACGGGGAATGGAGCTCAGTGACCAAAACACCATGGCAAGAACGTTACGCAAACGCGCTTTGTGCCCTTTTGTCACCAATGGAACCTCAAAGCGGGAACCACGTCTTGACCACATCGTTTCCGGAGTACCATCAAGCATTACGACTGCCTTCTCTTCAGCTCGGATGGCTTCAAAGCAGGGGACTTTTATACTCATCGGTCCTGCCCCGAAAAGCTTCGCGGCTCGACTTGAGACCATCCGATGGCAAGACTCCCGTTGGGGCGGTTATTCTTTCCTCGAGTGAAGAAAGGTTGACCACTACACTTGGTGACATTGGGCGCGGTCACCATGTTGGACCCTTTCGGGCGCAATATCTGTCGCACCGGTTCCTGGAGCTGGATCGCAGACATCAAGGTAGGCCTAGGTGAATCTGCCAACACGCCGTGGTCATGATATAAAACAATAGCTCTCCTCCCAGGCTTTATCCGATATTTGTCTTGTGTTCAGCAACTCGATCAACTGGACCTTCATCATCAACACCACAAGCAGCATCTCAGAACACGCAACTTTCCATCCAGGATGCTCACCACTCTCATCGCCCTCGCGGCCCTCACTCTCACAACCGCCTCCCCTCTCCACCTCGACGACTCCTCCCCCGCCTCTGAACAACCCCCAACCTCCTCAGCCTATGGCTTCGCCCTCGTCGCCAACCTGACCGACCCCGACATGGCCCGCAATCTCTTCCTAGACGACATTAACCACTGGTCCCTTCGCGGGGTACACGTCGGCGCCGGCCAAAGCACCGCGGTCCTCGCCAAGCCCAACACCACCTCCTCCTCCAGCCCGCACCAAATCTACTACCAAAATTCCACCGGCGGCATCTCCCTCGACAACTCCAACCCCTCCCCTTGTCAATCCGCCTCGGCGGCACCTACGACTCTGATTTCCCCTCCGTTTTGTATCTGGGCATCTTCTTCGGCCTGTCCACACCCTCTCTCACCATCCACTTTGATCCCCCCGGCCACCCGCGCCTCTACGTCTCCTCCGCAGGCGCTAACTCACCCGAGGCAGACAAGCCAACTTCCCCTGGGTCGCCCGTCACGGATGAGGAAGCGCCGGAACTGTATCGTCAGGGCGCGTTCATCGTGTGTAATGAGACGGATCCGGTTTATACGAGGCCGCAGTATCCCGTGAGGTTTGCGAAGAGTAATGGCGATGGAACGGTCAGTTTGCCGAGTAATTGTGCGAGGATTGAACTGTTGGCTGAGTGTGGGACGCTGAGGTATTTGGATGGGCAGGGGATGGAGTATGGACAGGATCGGCCGGGGGTTGTGGGGTGTTTTGATGGGGGGCTTTGAGTCTCTTGACGAGGACGGTGGTTACCTTGAGAGAGAATGGAAGTGGTCTCTTTAAGGAATTGAACTGGGTTACTGTGGTGGATGGATGTTAAGTCCGTTTGGGAGAGGTAAATGAAGGAAGGGGTGTTGTGATGGACGAAGGAAGTGAAAGGTTTGAAGTAATCAATGCCTTGGGTCTGGGTGGGTGCTGGTGAGCGGCCAGCCAAGTCATTAAACACTTTGACGTGAAAGACAATCCATTCGGGGCTTTGAAGAGTCTTGAAATCGAAGAAAAATATATGTTAATCTTTCATGTGCAGCGATGCTCACATGGTTCTGTCCCTTGATAGAATGTCGATTGAAGTCCGTTGCTACATATCAAGCTGAGCCTCATCGCCTTCCTCCATGTCGCGTGATCCATTAATGATCTGCAGTAAATCCTCATTTCCCCTTCTTCCACCCCAACACCTTTCTTTCTATTTTTGTCCGACCGAACCAATTCTATCCCGGCCCTACGCCAACTTTTCTTCCCTCACACAACCGCCAATCCTTCGCATGTACCAACTCTCTCCAATCTTCCACCGTTGCATCGCAAAGAATGACATCTTGTCAGATTATAGGTTGGCTGATTGAGCCACTACTCCGATTGAGTCGTAGCTCCAGTTTTTGCCGCTTGGTGTAGTGGTGCCAATCTGACACACCTCGTTTTTACCCGCCTTGGCAAACTAAGCACACACTGTGAGACACGCCGAAACAAGGTACACAATGGCACCTGAATGGGCAGCGCGAAACACCTGCAGTGGCGGCGGCACCGCGTCCACCAAGACAGAATGAGTAAACGAGCGGCGGGCGCTCAGGGGAATTGATGAGACAAAGTGTTCACTTCACTTCACTTCATCTTCACAATTCATCGAACTTGTAGATCTCTTGGGATTTTAGGACTTTCATCATCTTTATACACTCGTTTGAAGCAAGGGGAAGGTAATCGCAACGTGAACAAACCCAAGGCACATGGTTCGCTTCCGCTCTTAGTAATATTGAGCGGCATCACGCCCTGCTAGACCACCAGCCAGCCGCCATCAACCACCAACCGGCCGTTTATTATCTCTTCACTCTCCAACGGCATCACCACGCTCACTTGTCTCCTCATCTACACGCTTTGGGAAAATCGAAACTAGCAGATAAGTGAGATCGCGACGACAGACGGGAACTCGCCATATGGTCGCATCAAGTCTGTCGACATCAAGCGGCATCACGCCCTGAGGTGCTAAACACCCACTCCGGAGTTCTGAACGACATCGCTGGCAAAGCAAAACAACACCATCACCAGTCACCAGTCACAAACAATGGCGCGCTTCCCCTCCGCCATCCCACGGCAACTCCGCCCCTCTCGCCGTCGCCACGTTTTCCTCGCCCTCGCTCTGCTCTTCACCCTCGCTTACTTTCTCCACTTCTCCTCGTCCTCCTTGGATGATACCTCACCACCGACCCACGGCTCCGAATTCGCCTGGCTACAACACCACATGAACGCCCCCTTAAAAACCCAAACCCAAACCCAACAAAACTCACATCCAACACCTCCTTCGACTGGTCCACCGTCACGCCCATCTACCCCCCCTCCCTCCCTCTCCGCCAACTGCCCATCGGTCGACCAGTCTCTTTACCACCCGTCCAACACAGTTTCGGTCCAGAATCCCCCACAGCTCGCAAAACCCGCGAAGCCCGTCGCCAAAAAGTCAAGTCCGTCTTTTTCAAAAACTGGAAAAGTTACAAAGAACTAGCCTGGAAGAAAGACGCCCTTTTACCCATCTCAGGCGGTTACAAAGACCAATTCTCAGGCTGGGCCGCAACGCTAGTCGATTCTCTTGATACGTTATGGATCATAGGTTTGCGACAAGAATTCGACGAGGCGGTAGCTGCTGTAGCTGATATCGATTTCGGTGTGACGAAAGATGGGTCAGGAAGGGTGAATATTTTCGAGACGAATATTCGGTATTTGGGGGGACTACTGGCTGCTTACGACCTGTCAGGGAGGGAGGTTTTACTGACTAAAGCGAGGGAGTTGGGGGATTTATTGTATGCGGGGTTTAATACCGCGGAGAGGATGCCGGTTGATTTCATCGATTTCGAGCGGGCGAAGATGGGGGAAGGACTTATTGTTGAGGGCAGCGTGGTGAGTGCTAGCCCTGGCACGCTGACGCTGGAGATGACGAGGCTGAGTCAGGTGACGGGGGACATGAAGTACTACGATGCGGCGGCGCGGGTGATGGATGTTTTTGAGCAAGGGCAGAATTTCACAAGGGTCCCGGGGTTGTGGCCTATTTACGTGTCGATGGCACGGAAGGATGTCACAAATGGGAATCAGTTCGGGGTGGCGGGGTGCGCGGATAGTTTGTATGAGTATTTACCCAAGATGTATGCGCTTACCGGAGGACTGGAGCCACGCTATGAGAGCATGTCGAGAGCGTTTCTGGAGGCGGCGGATAAGGCGCTGTTCTTCAGGCCGATGCTACCCGGGAATGAGGACGTGTTGATGATTGGTACGGCGGATGTCACGGTTGACGAAAAGGAGGATATGGTGCTCATCCCCGAGAGCGAGCATCTGGGGTGTTTTGTGGGTGGGATTTATGGACTGAGTGGGAAGCTGTTTAGAAGGCCGGAGTGGGTGGAGAGTCAGGGGGTCAAGATCACGAATGGGTGTGTTTATGCTTATAGGGCCATGCCGACGGGGATGATGCCCGAGAGGTATAATATGGTGCCTTGTCAGTCAAGGGATGATAAGAGCTGTAAGTGGAACGAGGAGTTATGGGAGAGGGAGAAGAGGAAAAGACCTGAATGGAAGGAACATTTGCCAAAGGGGTTTACGACTGCCAAGGATCCGAGATATATCCTAAGACCAGAGGCTATCGAGAGCGTATTTGTCATGTGGAGGATCACGGGCAAGCAGGAGTTCCAGGAGGCGGCGTGGGATATGTTTGAGGCTGTGAGCATTGGGACTGAAACCGACTTTGCGAATGCAGCCGTGTTGGATGTGACCAAGGCCGAGTATCCTCTGCCGAAGGAGGATTACATGGAGGTGAGTTCCCGTCCTTTTGGTTGTGATAATGTGTTGGGATGACAGCTGACATTGTGTGTTTCGCAGAGTTTCTGGTTGGCCGAGACGCTCAAGTATTTCTACCTAGCTTTCTCTCCACCAGATGTCATCAGTCTGGATGATTTTGTCTTGAACACTGAGGCACATCCGTTTCGAAGGCCCAAGAAGCCAAGGGTGGATCGTCCGTTGAAGGTGTAATGTGTATCTTGTTAGCTTCTGATTATCCAAATAGGACTGGACATCGCACCTCGCTGATCACGGTGACCATAATGTCGCAATTTCCTTTGAAGCAGTAATACTCAATCGCCAATCGACCACGGGCAGGATCCAACGTTGCAATATCGACAACAACGACACCTAATCCGGACTGCTGATACTCGGGAGCCAGTGTTGCAACTGCCGAATGCGCATCCATATGGGGATCCCGAGATGGACGAGTCAGAGTTGGCGACCAGAGATTGAAGTTGCAGTTGGCTTTCCGGTTAGAGATCTTTGGAGAAGGAGGCTGGGGAGACGGGGTGGATCAATCTAACTGCTGTCTGTTGCAGGACAAGCACGGCACATACGGGGAAGGTGCACATCGACGTTTGCATGAGGTGACCCGAAAACTCTGCACTTTCCATTCTCTAGGTCATTTGGACGCTGCGACATGAATTAGGAAGGCATGATCTGGCCAGGTCGGAAGGTAGCCGAGAGCGGGACCTTGGAGTGACTTGAATCTTCCCGTAAATCTCTTCTCAACCCAAGTACCTGTCTCGTACCCCGAGGGGGCTTTCACCAATCTCTGGTTCGTCCCCTCTCTCCTCCAGTTCATCCCCTCGCACCCATCTTTGTCTTTCCTCGACCTGCCCCCATTTTCGGTTCATTTGGTCTAGTTCACGATACCCTCCCAACCAATATGCAGAAATGGGAACCGGGCATCATCTTGGGGGCGCAACAAATGTTTGGCTGCAGATCACCATGGCCATGACCTTTTCCACGTCTGAGCCCAACATCCAAAACATCGGAGGACCCTGACGGTGACCCAATGTGATCTCGAAGACACTGCAGCAACCATCCAACACATGCTTACACCGACGGGAGGCACCCAATCACGTTCAGTTAAAAGCTATAGCAAGGCAAATGGGACCTCGGAAACCTCGCATGGCGCCGTGTAAGACGCACAGCAGATGGGCACGGGGGTAGGTATGCAGTATGTCGCCTTCTGTCTCCTTATCTAACAAGCAAGCCCATCCAGCTTCGCATCACGACAATCGTATCTGCCACGATCACGAACTTGAGACGTCCGTCGTCTGCAAGATAAAAGGCTTTACAGCGAGAGAGCAGCTCGCCGCAACCACCATGGCCCAATCGGTTGAAGAAGCGGATCTGGACAAGGAGAAGCAGTTGGACGAGGTCGAGGTTAGCAGAAACAACGAGGTCAGTTCACACTCGTCTTGTCTGGTCTTCAAATACCTATGCTGACTTCAAATCCACCTACCAGTTCACCCCAACTTTCGAGTACTCCGCCGCCGAGGAACGAGCTCTGTTGCGCAAACAAGACTTGACCATCCTCCCACTTTGCGCTGCCATCTACTTCCTCTGCTATCTCGACCGGTCCAATATCGGCAACGCCCGCATTCTCAACTCGACGACGCACAATGATATGCAATTTGAAACCCATTCCACACAATACCAGTTCAACATTGCCTTGATGGTGTTCCTCGTGGCATATGCTATTTTCGAGGTCCCATCCAACATTCTGCTCAAGAAGCTGCGACCTTCGCGATGGATCGCATTCCTCATGTTCTCATGGGGTGCCATAACCATGGGCCTTGGCGGTGTCCAGAACTTTTCCTCTTTGGCCGCAGTGAGGTTCATCCTTGGTGCTTCTGAAGCCGGTCTTTTCCCTGGGTTGGTTCTCCTCCTAAACCGTTTAGCCACTTTACCATGCTAATCATCTCGGTGGCCAGTCTCGTATATTATCTGACCTTCTGGTACAAGTCAGACGAGCGCAGTGTCAGAGTCGCCTCAATCCTCGCCAGCGCCACGCTCGCGGGTGCCTTCGGAGGCGCAATTGCTTACGGCATCGGCCACATGAATGGTGCAAGCGGACTATCTGCCTGGCGCTGGCTCTTCATCATCGAAGGCGCACCCTCTTGTGTCTCATCGCTCTTTGTCCTCTTTGTCCTACCGGACTACCCGGAAGAGCACTTCAAAGGAAGAGAACGCGAAATTGCGCTGGCTCGTCTCAAGGTTGAAGGAAGCAAGAGACACCATCGTAGCATGACGTGGGAAGACGCCAAGACGACGCTCACAGACTGGCGACTCTACGGTCACTACCTCATCTACTTTGGAGTCTCGGTTCCTTTCAGCTCGTTGTCATTGTTTACCCCATCCATCACTTCCGGTTTGGGATACAAAGATCTCCAGGCTCAGTTGATGAGTGTTCCACCTTATGCGGTAGCTTATGGTTAGTCTGGATACCGCCGTGTCACAGAACCAGGACACTACTGACAGAACTACCTACAGTTACGCAAATTCTTGTTTCGTGGTCGGCAGACCACTTCAACGCTCGTGGTATCCACAGCGCCGTATTTGCACTCATCGGTGCCGTAGGGTTTATCGCGTTGGTATCACTACCAGTAGATGCCTTCCAGCACAGATACGGTTGCCTCATCCTTGCATCGGCAGGTTCTTTTGCCTGTATCCCCCCAATGCTGGGATGGCTGTCATCCAATGTCTACAGTACGGCTTCGGTAGGCCTTGCTATTGCAATCAATGTGAGTTTCGGGGGTGGGATCGGCCAGATACCCGGGGTCTGGATATACCCAAAAGAGGAGGCTTCTCGAGGATATCCCACTGGCCACTGGACTAACGCCGGGATGCTTCTCATGGTTTCGGCGGGAGCAGCTGGGCTTCGTGTCTGGTATGGCTACAAGAACCGAAAGCTTCTTCGCGAAGCTAATGGGCAGGAAGTCCGGCTATTCAGACTTTAAGGAAAAGTTACAGTATAATGGAGGGCAGCTGACGTATCATCCCCAGCTGATGGACAAGGTAAATATTCGAACGTCATCTTATGTTTTTCTTTATGGATACCAAAATGTTATCGTCACCAGCTAATCGAGATGGCACCATGTGACAACCTTGTTTTGGAAGCATGTCATTGCGGCATACGAAGGGTTCATTTTTCCCAGAGCCATGTAAGAGTCGAATCGCAGTTCTGCGGTTCTCCTAGTAATGGGCTCAAGCGTATGGCTCGTGGACATGCGATAGGTCTTTCCAGACATGGAAATCCCAGCCGGCTGCTGGCTATGGACTGGTTGTAACAAACTAATATCTGATAGGCTTAGGAGGCGAACAGTCACCTCCATGAGATCGGTCAGAGTTCTGGAATGGGGTTCCAAGGCCAAAGTACGGCCCAAGCACTATACTGACAGACTCAAGCTTGCCTCAGTAACAGAATATGAAGCAGAAATGGGGATACCGCGGGGTACCAAAACGAAGGATCCCTCAGATACCGCCAGTCTGGACCAGGTAAAACTGGGCACTTATGGCGACCGAGAGGGACCATGCACCAGTGCCCACATGTTTATCCCGGGTCCGAGCTGTACCCCCAATTCCTACCTGCCGGTAAGCTGCCAAATTCTCCAAGTGCCTCCTTGATAGCAGTAGACAACTCCAACATCCCCCGCCCGAAGCTGTAACCTTCTTTTTCCTCGCCTTCCTCGTCACTCGTCAACCAGAAACCTGTCCACCATTCCCTAGGTTTTCAAGCCGTCGTATTTAGGCTGTGTGACCTTCCTCATCAAGCATGAGTCGTATCGAGACTGGACAGCTCATGAAAGCTTCATCCAAATTAACCAATGTCACCAGAGCCGGCTCCCTGTCAACCCAGCCAACCCAGCCAACCCAGCCGAAAGTTGAAGATGGAGTTGAAGGACCCTTGAATGGGCCAAGGTAATAGTTTGGGGTTCACTGTCAAACCCGCATGGCCGACCCAGTGACGGCACCTGTCAGTTCTGCTTCATGAACTTAGCCTTGGGGTTCTCCCCCGCCACATGGCATGTAACGAGTCAGTTTGCCGATTCCCGGAATTTTGTCGTTTTAGGGAAGTCGATGTCCACTCCGATCGCCCAGCTTGGATGGCAAACCGTGAAAAGGAAACCGCCACGGTAACAGCGTTATTACGCTGCATATTGACCGCTCCCAGTCATGGCTTCCTATAAAAAAACCAGCACGCCGGTCCACGACCAACCTAATCTCGTGATACCATCTTGAGACTCGGGATCACCTGAGTGGGTCTCTCTGCTGCTGGTGAGTTGCACAGTTCCTTATAAAGGGAACACCAAGTGGCTATGCGTCTTCACAATGTCCTTTCCGGACCCCGAGAATCAGTACTGCATGAAGCATTTACCGTTCGGTCTACCATTTTCGGTCCGTGGATTCCAAGGGGCTTCGCTACCCATGCCATTTATTTCTTTTACTTCATCAGTCACTTCCGTCATAAAGATTCAGCACATGTGAATGAACATTCTGTTCCATGCTCATCATCTTCTTACTCATTCACCTTCATGGTCACCCTGACGATAGCAGACTGTCACTGATCTCTTTACTTTTTTTTTTTTTTTTTTTCTTTTTTTAAATAATGACACGAATCACGGCCTCTATTACCGGACTCGTCGTTGCCCTCGCCATCGTCATCCAAGGTGTCACCGTGCCCAGCGGCAGATCAGGATCAGGAACAGGATGGTGGAAACGTGATATCCCGCCACCAGCGTCCAGCTCGGCAGCGCCAATTCCAACACCACCGCTAGACCAGATCCCGACACCGCCTAACTGCAACAAGGTCTTCTTCACCAACATTCTGCCGCCTGAAGCGCGCCTGGAGAACGTCACGGTTGTGCCGGAGGGCGGTAGTCATGGCGAAGGAAAGAGAAATATTCCGTATCCGACTGACCCGACGAACCTTCCTGCCCTATGTGCCGTGACAGTCAACGTGACGAGTTCGCCGTCGAGTAGCTACCGGTTTGGACTGTTCTTACCGACGGAGTGGAGTGGGAGGTTTCTTGCTGTCGGCAATGGAGGGTTTGCGGGGGGTATCAATTGGCTTGATATGTATGTGTTGTGTTTCTCATTGGTGTTCCCCTTTTGGAAAGTGTCTTGTGAAAACTGCTCGTCAGTAATGGGAATTCATTCTGTAATCCTAATACATGATTTGTCTTCCATGGCCGACTTGCTAACTACCGTATCATCCAGGGCTCCCGGCACACACTACGGCATGGCAACCGTCTCATCAGACCTAGGCCACAACAGCTCTGCAATCGATACATCATGGGCCATCAACCAGCCCGAAAAGAAACTTGACTGGGGCTGGCGAGCCCTCCACGGCAGTGTCGTCCTCGGCAAGAAGCTCACAGCCGCGTACTACGACGGCTGTGACATGTTCTACTCGTACTACAGCGGCTGTTCCACCGGCGGGCGCCAAGGCCTCCGCGAGATCCAAGAATTCCCTGACTCGTTCGATGGCGTGCTAGTCGGTGCTCCTGCCTGGTGGACGTCCCATCTAAACAACTACATCACCCAGCTAGGGATGTACAACCTTCCCAACAACACCGACTCGTACGTGTCAAACGATCTACTCAAAGTCGTCGCCCAAGAAGTCGTCCGGCAATGTGACCTAGCCGATGGGGTCGAAGACGGCATCATCCAACGCCCCGACCTCTGCGAGTTCAACTCTTCCCTCCTTCTGTGCCCATCCAACTATACGGCCCCTGAAAACGCCACAGCAACCTGCCTCACCCAACCCCAGATCGAAACCATCGAAAAGATCTACTCCTCGCACCACCACGCCTCCACAGAAGAACTCATCTACCCCGGCCTCACCATCGGCTCCGAAGCCCAATGGCCCGTCGGGATCTTCGGCGGGATACCCAACAAAACCACCAACACCACCAGTAACAACGGCATGCCCTCGCCCTACGGGCTCGGCTACCAGCGCAATTTTTTGTTTGACAACGCCACCTGGAACTACACAGCCCTCTACAGCGACAGCGTGGTCGATCTAGCCGACCGCCTCGACCCCGGCCGCGCCACCGCCGACAAATACGACATTTCGGCGTTCAAAGCCCGCGGTGGCAAGATGATTCTCTACCACGGCCTCGCCGACGGACTCGTCCCCACCAAGGGCACAGAGCTGTATTACAACCGCACCATCCGCGCGTTCGGGGGCGACCTGACTACGCTGCACAATCTGCGCAACACGACCGAGTTCTTCAAGTTTTTCCAGATCCCCGGGATGCAGCACTGCTGGGCTAGTCCGCCGCAGGTGGACGCGCCGTGGAATATCGGCGGCGCGTTCCAGGCGGGCGTCATGGGCAGTGGGCTTTATTCTGTTCCTGGGTACGAGGGTAGGGAGGAGTATGATGCGCTTGTTGCGCTGAGGAAGTGGGTGGAGGAGGGGAAGGAGGTTAAGCAGCTTGTTGCTACTAGTTGGAGGGAGGGACTTAATGCTAGTAGTGGGGTTAGGAGGCAGAGAAAGGTTTGTGCCTGGCCGGGACGGTGTGTTTTGAGGGATGATGTGGTGATAAGAAGGGAGAGGGACAAGGATAAGGGTGGGGATGGGATGGATGAAGATGGCGATGTGGCGAATATTTTGGATAAGGAGGAGGTTTGGGAGTGTAGATGGCCGGAGGGGATGGAGGAGGAGGGGAAGGAGTTGTGATGAGAATTGACGGGGTATGAGAATGGATATTTTGCTGTTTGACTGGATGGAAGAACATGATTTTGCTGTCAAGAGTTGATGAATGGAACAGGAACTGGTGCGTGCATGGCGTCCTGGAGAAGCACGGCGTTGGGCGACTGGGAGTTGGTGAGGAGGGTAGCGGGTAGCGGGTAGCGGGTAGCGGGAGGGCATTGCTTGGACTGTTCTGGATGCATGTTCCATTGATTGGAAGCAGCTCAAGTTTGAAGCAAGCCAGTTACTTTTATGTTGCTTTGATCAATTTATAACTCGATGAAATACGAATGGCCGTCTCAACAATCGAGTGTTCATCATGACCCCCTCCCTTCCATTTTGGTAGAGTGGACATGGGGTTAGGGTTACTATAACCAAAAATTCCCGTGTAAGTGATAAGATAAGCACACAGGTAAGATAGCGATAACGGTTTGGGAGCTATGACCATCTGGGGAGCACCGCGAGCCGTCGTCGCTGTCAATCGTCCCGCCGGCCAAATTCCCGAATTCCCAATTCCATCCCAATCCCATTTGGTCCCGACACACGAACGAGGGCGCAACCCCGACGACATCGCCCGCACGCCATGCCTCGAATTCCCACCGTCGAGCTCAGTAGATACCTACTAGCCGGCCACATCGCCTCTCCCGGTTGTCTTCGGAACCGCCCGCGCCCGCGCCCGCGCCGCAACACTACTTCCCGGCAACAATGCGCGCGCTGCTCTTGGTCCATCGCGACAGCTTCAGCCTCGTCTCCAACAACAACAAGCGCGATACCTAACGACCGAAACGACCCCCTTGGCGGCCGCCTCGACAACTACTACCCCTCCTCCACCCGCTGCCCCCTTCCGCAAACAGCTAAAAGAACAAGCCAAAGCCCTCAAAAAGTCCGGCGCCAACAAAAAGAAGAAGTCAAGCGACAACCAAACCGTCCCCGGCTGGGAATTAACCGTCGGCATCGAGATCCACGCGCAACTCAACACTTCCCACAAACTTTTTTCTCCCGCAGCCGTAACATCCTTCAACGACAGCCCCAACACGCACGTAGCCCCCTTCGACCTCGCCCTTCCAGGCTCCCAACCTCTTTTCCAGCCCGCCACCTTGGTCCCCGCCATCCGCGCCGCGCTAGCCCTCAACTGCGCCATCCAGCCTGTTTCCCGCTTCGACAGGAAACATTATTTCCACTGGGACCAGCCTGCGGGATACCAGATAACGCAATTTTACGAGCCGTTTGCACGCGATGGATACATAACGTTATATGCGCGGGATGGGATTGCTGCTGAGGATGGTGAGCAGATACAGATTGGGGTGAAGCAAGTCCAGATGGAGCAGGATACTGCCAAGACTATCGCCCAACCCGGCGAGGTGCAGTGGTTGGATTTTAATCGTGTCGGGGTGCCGTTGATTGAGATCATTACTCTGCCGGAGATCCACCATCCCGCGACGGCGGCGGCGTTGGTGAGGAAGGTGCAGATGGTGCTGGGGAGCGTGGATGCTTGTGTTAGTGGACTGGAGGAGGGTGGGCTTAGGGCTGACGTGAACGTTTCGGTACGAAAAGTGGGAGAGGGTGGGAAGCCAATAGGGGAACTGGGACAAAGAACGGAAATCAAGAACCTGAGTAGTTTCAAGGCGGTCGAAGACGCGATCATTGCCGAGCGGGATCGGCAGATTTCTCTGATTGAGAGCGGGGGAAAAGTGCTAGGAGAAACGAGGGGTTGGTCGCTGGGCAGCACGGAGACGCGGAGACTAAGGGGAAAGGAAGGGGAGGTGGATTATAGGTATATGCCTGATCCTGACCTGGGACCGGTGGTCATCGGGCAGGATCTGGTGCAGCGATTAAAGGAGACGATGGGCATTTTGCCGGATGAGGAGGCGGATGGGTTGATGGGGAGGTATGGCCTTAGTGCTAAGGACGCGTTGGCGCTGATGTTGCTGGATGGCGGGGCGAGGGTGCAGTATTTTTATAATGTCCTCGACTCCCTTGAAGAGCGTCTGGCTGGTGAGGGGCAGGCGGTACCGGAGAAGGGGGCGGAACATGCCACGCTGGCGGCGAATTGGTGTTTGCACGAACTGGGCAAGCTGACGGATTCAGTCTCTTCTGGATCTGAGTCTTCGAGTTTGGAAGGTCTGGAAGGTCTGCAAATGACACCCCAAGGCGAATCACCCCTCGTCCCATCTTCTTCTCTCGCATCCATCCTTTTTCATCTTCACTCCCGCACTATCACGGCAAAGGTAGCCAAAGACCTCCTCTGGGCCGTCTATCGCGGCGAGGTTCCCGACCAAGATGTTACAGGCTACATCGATACCAACAACCTCTGGTTCAAAGAACTTTCCGAACAAGAATACACCAAGCTGGCGGATGAGGTCCTCCAAGGCGAGGGGAAGGTCCTGGGAGAGTTCAAGAAGTGGAAGGAAGGCAAGATGAAGGCGTATCCGCAGGGCAAACTGATGTATCTTGTCGGGAAAATGATGAGGGAGGGCCCAGAGGGGAGGGTGGAAGCTAGTGGCGCGGAGAAGGTTTTGAGAGGGGTTTTGGAGAGGTTTTTGGAGGGGTGAAAGTCGACAGTGAGGGAAACGCCATTCTTCGATGCGATGGGCTTTGCTATACCCTCTACAACCACGGCGCCCAACGCGGGCTTCTCGGGATTCGGCACAAGTGGAAGTCCATACATTCGCGAGATTTAAGGCAATGTTCAGATGGCCGGTGTAGGAGGGGATCCATCCCGTGGCCGTGGTCTTGGTCCTCTTGTGTTCTGCCCGTCTCCGACTTTCATCTTACTCTCCTGCCAGTTTCCCTTAGTCCCGATCGACTCGAGCGATAATTCGCACTTCAATCCAGGCTCTGTGGACTCGTAGTCTAACAAACCTATCATCCATCCTGCTGTCATTCGTCCCTCCACAGGCTCGCATATCAAGCACTTCGACCATTAACGCCGAGGTCAGCCCAGGTTGTTAAACAACATTCGGCTTTACACTTCACAACACTGTCGGCAGACGGAACAATTGCAGGCCGGCTGTTTTAACCAGGAACCAGCCAACTACGTTTCTCGCCTCCTCGGTCTTAACGGAAGCCCAACCAGATGCCGTTCCGAGCTCGTTGCTCGTTGCTCCTCTCTTCCCGTGCCGTACCGTGCGGCATCACATTCCGGCCCTTGGCCCTGGCTCGCATTGACTTGACTGCCACTTCCCCTCCTCCAAACATTCTCAAAGGACGTGTTCTGGAGCCATTTCTAAGCTCGTCATGGCTCACACTACTGGTTACAACGCAACAACTACCACGAATGCTCTCGGCTAGTCGAATGGGATTACAATTGGTCGTCATGGACCATTGGCCCGTACACGGCAAAGGCTCGCGGAATATGCATCTTCACACCGGAGAAGTAATGTTCGGGGATCTCCTGCTATAGGTCAAAGCACAGCACAACCTGTTTACCCATACACAAATGGACACCCAAGGAGGCGAATGGGACGGTGCCTGCAATATCTCGGAGACAATGCGCCCTTGTCTTAACTGTCTTAAACCCCTCTCTCACTCTAACGGTACCAGACCACGGAGATTTACCCGCTGCTGGGGTCCGGGCCTGTATTGCTGTCAACAGGAAGGTAGCACTCAGCGCAGGATATGTAGGTAGAATTAATCAATCAAGCATATGTCATCGTCTCATCGTTGAGACTTCATCTATAAATCTTTCCCAACAAAACCTTGGCAGTCGTATTTCATCCTCACCTCCACCCTCCCCCCTTTGAGTATCTCGCACACTCCTCTCTTTCCTTCCCATTCCTCACGTCTGTTTCGTTCAGCCATGATGAAGTTCTCCTTCCTCTCCCTCCTCCTGGCCCCTGCCTTGGCAGCCGCCGCAGGTACCGCGGAAGAGGCCAACCCAACCACCACCACCTACGACTACATAGTCGTCGGCTCCGGTCCCGGCGGCGGGCCCCTATCCGCCGAGCTCGCGCGCGCCGGCTACTCCACGCTTCTAATCGAAGCCGGCACCGACCAATGGGACAACCCGACATACGCCGACATCCAGAACTTCAACGAGGCCGCCAACGACGAGACCACGCGCTGGGACTTTTGGGTGAAACACTCGGACGACGCGGCGCGTGACTTGAAATTCAAGCACACCACGTGGGACACCGGGGACGGAACCTTCTACGTCGGCCTGGACCCGCCCGAGGGCGCAAAGTTGTTAGGCATTCAGTACCCCCGCGCGGCGGTGCTGGGCGGGTGCGCGATGCATAATGCGGGCGTGGCGAGCCTGCCGGAGGATGACGATTGGAATCGCATTGTTAATCTGACGGGGGATGCGAGCTGGGAGGCGGGCAAGATGAGGGAATACCTCAAAAAGATTGAGAGGAATGAGTATGCTGATAAGGGGGATGCTAGTCATGGACATGACGGTATGTCGCCTTTCTTCAAGACTATCTTACACCGGGACGAAAACTGACAGTGACGACAAAAAAACAGGCTGGCTAGCAATCTCCAACACTGACCCCTCCTGGGCCAAAAACGACTCAAACCCCGGCGTCAAAATCATGAAACGCATCGCCGAGCTCATCGGCCAAGACCCGTCCCAAGTCGCAGAGCTCGCGAACACCGACGTCCTCGGCGATTTCCCGCAGCGAGACACCATGTCCTCCTTCTTCAACATGGCCACCCACGCCGACAAGAACGGCAAGCGGTACAGTCCCAATAACTACATCCGCGCCACGCTGGCCGACCCGGCCAAGTATCCTTTGACCGTCAAGCTTAACACATTGGCTACCAAAGTCTTGTTCAACACTACCGGCCAAAAGCCCCGTGCCGTGGGTATCGAAGTCATGGAAGGTCCCTCTCTCTACCGCGCCGACCCCAAGCACGTTGCTGGGTCCCCCGCCCCGCCCAAGACTCAATATTTTGCCCGCCGCGAAGTAATCCTCTCAGGCGGCGCCTTCAACACCCCGCAACTCCTGAAACTCTCCGGCATTGGCCCCGCCTCGGAACTCTCCCAGTTCCAAATCCCCGTCCTCGTCGATTTACCAGGTGTAGGCGAAGGTCTAACAGATAACTACGAAGGCAGCATCCTCGGTCTGGGAAAAGTACCCATCGAATCCGGTCTTATTACTTTACTCTTTCGCACACCGAATGCCCCGACCAAGAAAAGGAATATCTACGCTTGGTGCGGCGCTTTCAGCTTTGAGGGGTTCTGGCCTGGGTATCCTACCTACTACGGCGCGGAGCAGTTTACCTGCGCGATGGTGCATGTGAAACCTCGCAGTCAGGATGGGTCAGTTAGGCTGCTGAGCAAGGATCCGCGGGATAAACCCGATATCAACTTTCGGTTTTTTGAACACGGCGGGGATGAGGATCTAGCTGAGTTAGTCTCAGCCGCCAACATCTTGCGAGAGTCGTGGCAAGCAGCCGGTGACTCAGTTACTCCCTTCCAAGAACTGCACCCGTGTCCTGCGACTTCGCAATCCGCAAACAGCACTTGTTCACGGGTGGAAGAGGCGGAATTCTTCAAAACCCAGGCTTACTCCCACCACGCCACCTCCAGCTGTCAGATAGGCGGCGACGGCGATAAGATGGCTGTTTTGGATTCCAAGTTTCGGGTTAGAGGCACGGAGGGGTTGAGGGTTGTGGATGCCAGCGCTTTTCCTAATGTTCCGGGGTTTTTTCCGAGTGTGCCGACTATGATGATTAGTGTCAAGGCTGCGGGGGATGTGCTGGAGGCTGCTAGGGCTGCTGATGCTGATGCTGATGCGGGTAAGGGGGTTGAGGAGTGAAAAGGGGGAAGGGGGAGGTTGAAGGGGAAAGAGGTTGAGGAGAAAGGAGGTTGAGGAGAAAGGAGGTTGAGGAGAAAGGAGAGTTCTATGGGTTGGAGGAGTGAGCGAGTCACGATGGTGTCGGTGTTTGGTGTTGGTGTTGAGGTGTGCATCATTCGTCGGCACACTCAACTCTTTCTGGGCATTTAGACTGCCCCCGAACGGTTTCCGTGTCCCTTCTCCCGTCCCGCTAGACAACTCCAGGAATCAAGTTCCTTTTTGTTGTCGCTTTTGTTCCATCCTCCACTTTTCCGGGCAGTCTCCAACAGCAACAGCAACAGGTGCCATGGCTTTAATAGTACTATATACGCCAAGCCGTTGAGAGAAGTGGATGAGAGGATCGATGTGCGAGTGAGTGAGTGTCGTGACCGATCCCGGTATATTCCAAACTGCTCCTGCCTTTATTCCCATGCATGTGGGGCAGGGCGTTCCGTCTCCTTGCGCCTTCTTCCTGCCATTGAAGCACAAATCAGCCCAACACTCACTCCCACACGTCGCCCTTCCGTTAGCCGGGCTCACCGGGTACGGTTGAAGGCATTCAAAAGTCCTGTCGCTGAGCAAGGGCTCGTTCCTTTGGGGATTAATGTGATGGTTGATTAGGAGGAAAAGCTAACAAACTAAAGAAACCCCCGAAGATTTCAAGTTCTTATACCTCCCGTCCCCTAGCGCTCCTTCCCAGCATCGAGGGTTGATGAAGGCGACAAGTCACGAGGGTTGAGGTTGAGAGTGGACCGTTTAGCGCTGGTGTTGTTGGAGAGCATATGCAGGCAAGGCACGAGGTCAAGCCATGCAGGGAGCACGTATGGTTGCTTGAGTGGTGCATTGAAGGGGCTTGGGTTGTCGGAGATGGTTGTCCGAAGATGTGAATTGTTGGGATCGGAGTTTTGTGATGTTGGAGTCTGGTGCAATGGAGAGACGAAAGACCTGGGCTGGGATGGAGCAACATCTTTGGGGACTCAGGAGAAAACAAAAGGTTTTTGAGTCACGAACGAGGGTATTTTCATTTGATGCCTATACAAAGGGAAAGACCAATCATTGTCGTTGACTCTTGTTCCAGATCACCTTCACTTTTCCTGCAGAGCCCTCCCCATACCTACCCACACTGCACCGCATCGGCCTGGACCAGAATCGAAATAGGCTTCACCATCGTTCCTGCACCTTTCATGTGCAAACTGACGATGAGTTCAGGTTTATAAGCCATAAGCCATTTCCGCAGAGGCAGGCAGGCGCGACTCTCAGTATAAAGCACAGCTTGGTAATTGGGCGTCTAAGAAGAACGCTCTTATTCTCGTTCTCCTCTTCTTTGTTCATGTCATCTATGCATCCCGAACCATCACGTCCCGAACCATCACGTCTCAACCCAGCCATCCTTTTTTGGAATCATTCATTACATACTGCAACTCGATATACCTGCATTATTTTTGGTCACTCCGTGAGTTCTGTTGGCTTTCCGTTGTTCGTTCCATGCCGGCCGTTCATCCATGAAAGTGTTGGTTCATTGACTTGGATATTACGCATTACCGTCTCCCTCCAATTCGAACTACTTACTCTTCCGTATAAAGCATCACCAATCTCCAATACCCACTTAGCATGGCGTGCCGTGTGAACTTGATCAAACCTCTCTTCTACTTTCTTGTCCTCTGTCAAGGTGTCTTGGCCATTGACCTCAGCCAGTTGTGCGGCTCTAGCGACCCTAACCTCCTGATCCCTCGTCAGTACACTGAGGAGGACCTCGACGAGACAAACGGCTACGTCAGTTTCCATCCCGAAGGTGCCACCGAGGGCTTCAAATGTCATTATCCGGAGTTCAGCTCAAAACACTGGGAAGGTTGCAACGACGGAGTCGATAAAAGATGGTGCTGGATGCGACAAACTGGAGCCGTTGAGGATGGGTCCGCTCGAAAGGGGTATACTGTCACAACGAATTGTAAGTGCTGCTCATTCACACTTGATTCTTCATCTCACTTTGTCTCGGCTTTATGCTGACTCGGCGACCTTTGCTTCTCCATCTTAACAGACGACAACTATGCACCTGTTGGAATCCAAAGACACGTACGTCGAGCCCTATCTCTGTAACAGCACATAGACTCGCATCTGACAGCCATCTCAGTACTATCTCGACATTGCCAAGCATACGATTGCGCCTGATGGAAACCCTCGAGAGGCTCGTCTCTTCAATGGCACCTACCCCGGACCCCTGATTGAGGCCTGTTGGGGCGACACAGTCATCGTCCATGTCACCAATAGCCTCGATGACGAAGGTACTGTCATTCACTGGCACGGTCTTCGTCAATACTATAGCAACGACCAAGATGGCGTGGCCCTGACGCAGTGTCCTATCGCTAGAGGTTCCACGTGGACGTACAACTTTACCATGCTGCAGTATGGTACTACCTGGTATCACAGCCATTACTCTGTGCAGGTAAGTCGATCCTAAAACGCCTACAGCCTGTGCAATTGTTAAAATATTCTATCAGTACGCCGATGGCGTTCTCGGGCCCCTCGTGATCCATGGCCCGGCCAGCGCCCCCTATGACGTTTCATACGCATGGCCGCACTTCATGACGGACTGGGTACACAGACGGGCTGAGGAAGAGTTTGAAAACGAGAAGAGTTCCAAGGTCCGTGGATCAAAAGCGGACAACATCTTGTTGGATGGTGTTGGCAGAGATCCGAAAGCGACGTCTGCTTATGATGGCGAAGACATTCGATGGTTATACCCCATCACTGAGATCCTTCCAGGGCAGAAGGTGCGGTTGCGAGTTATCAATGGGGCGGCCGGAACGTCGTTTATCTTCTCCGTTGACGGACATAAGATAGAGGTCATTGCCAATGATCTAGTGCCTGTTAAGCCAACAGCCGTTGACTCGCTTCTTGTCGCTATCGGTTTGTTGCCCCTCTTTTCTTTCTCCCTAACAAAGGCTAACAATTACAGGTCAACGGTACGATGTCATCATCCATGGCCTTCCGAACCCTTCCCCAGCAGGCAATTACTGGATTCGCACTACGCCAGCAGACGGCTGCAATACGTTCCGCAACGGAGTCTTCAACAGCACCAACAGCACGAATAAGGAACCTCTCGATCCGCGAACCGGGATCCTACACTATGACATCCCCAACGCCACGTACTTTTCTCTTCCCTATTCAACCGAAAACAAGATCCCAAACTACTCCTGTGCCCGCATAGCGGAACAAAATTCATTCCACCCCGTAGTTGCTTGGAACGTCTCAAAAACACCGCTGAATAACCTCGCCCTCTCGACCTTCTATCCCGCTCACCAGACCAAGGATGCCACCAAATATGGCAACTACACACACTGGCTGCTCCGTCTGGACCCCCTGATTGAGAAGGAGAGAGCCGTCAAGTTTCACAATCCCCTGTTCGTCAACTACAGCACTCCGTCGCTCCTCAACCTCACTAGTATCGGTCAAGGGGAGAACGATAATGTCGTGCGGCTGCCCTATTCTTCCAACTCCAATGAATTCATCCACATGGTCATCGACGGCTCTTTGTTGCCTTCCACTAAGCAGACTGACTTGGATCCGGACGTCATTCCTCGCCTTGCACACCCGATGCACTGGCATGGGTCGGATGTGGTTCTGTTAGCCCAGAGCGAGCAGCCATTTGACCCGGAAACATCCCGTGACACTTGGAATTATGATAACCCGCCGAGACGTGACACTATCATGGCACCCGCGGGCGGGTATGTCGCGGTGGCGTTCAAGCCGGATAACCCGGGTGTGTGGCTAGTTCATTGTCATATTGCGTGGCATGCCAGTGCTGGGCTGGCGTTGCAGATGGTTATTGATGACGGTCATGGTATGGTCCAGGGACTGCTGGACGATGAGAAGTTGCAGAGATTGCGAGATGGGTGTGACGAGTGGAAGGCAGATTTGGGTAGGATCGTTGCTAATAAGAAGGAGGATTCGGGAGTGTGAGACTTTTGTGCCTCGGGTTGGATTGACCTTTTGGTTTTTGTTAGATGGCATGCATTCCTGCATTTTGGACATGGAATAGAGAGGGGTACACGGAAGGGAGTCGTTCATTCATAGACTGGCCACATGCACATAAAAGGACGACAGGGACCACTGTATCATCACTTGGAGGAGTAGCGTTAGGATGTACATCATTAATATCGTAATTGTTAAACAACAGTGATAACTGGAAAAACAAAAGCAAAATTGGTGGAAAAAAACAAACACTGGGTATCTCGACATGACATGACATGACATGATGGAAAGACAGATAGACAGATAGACAGACAGACTGGTTCTGAACTGTTGAACACCCCAACCCCAAACCAAACACCAACATAAAAGCTTGGCAACCACCATTTTCTTGCTTGACATCCTGGCATCGTTCACCTCCTTCTCCCCATTGACTCCTTGGTCCTACCATCATCATCATCATCTCCCCATGGTCTCATAGCAGGAACATGTGCCAAGTCGTTATCGCTCCCCTGGCTCGGGTACGAAGGCCATTCCGTCATTCTCTGCCCCTGCGTAGTATCAGGTGTTGGCGACCTCTGATCGTATTCGATCGTCACCTCCCTCTCCTTGACGATTTTCCCTGGAGGTGGTCCGCCATGGCTTTCAAAGCTGACACTTCGTTGATGCATCATGTCACTTTCCCCTTCTGACCCTCCTCCCGCACTCGCCACGCTTGATTTGCTTAGGCTTAGGTGTCTCATCATCACCGGTCTTCCGTTGCTGTGTGCATGTCCACCATGTCCACCATGTCCACCATGTCCACCATGTCCACCATGTCCACCATGTCCACCATGTCCAACACTTTTGTCGGCGGACGGGTGTAAACGGTGCACATGCACCGTCATATGTCCATGTCCATGTCCTGCTTCCTCATCTTTACTTCCCCCACTCGTAGTCGTACTCCCCCTACTCCCTCTCAAACTCCCAAAGAGTCCTCGCCACTTGCCGCTCCTTCCTGAACGGTTACTGCTGGTAACAGTGGTACTACTCCTCCCTGTCCTTGCGTGCCTTCTGTGCCAGCATACATTTCGTTGCCGCTCTGGTGGCTGTGGCTGTGGCCGTGATGATGATGTTCGTTGTTTTCCAGACCATCGAGGTTATAAAACTCTGCAGGCGGCGGGGGGCGCGGACCGCCGCGATGTTCCCTCAGCAGGGCGCGCAGGATGGGAATGGAAGCGGCCATTATCGTCATGGCGCTCTCGGCGATTCCCAAGATGACAAGGTTTGTGCTGGCAAAAGTGAAGTTGGAGTTACCGATTGCTGGCAATTCCATTGCTTTTACGATGGAAATAACACCGGCGAAAACTCCCATGGACATGGCTACCAGCACACCCATTTTTTCTTTGCGGTTCATCGTCAATATCCAGATGATTTTCCATGGGAGGATAGCGAGGACAATGTCCATGGCTCCCGAATAGACTGCGGTGAACATGTTGTAGTGGATCTGGATCTGCTTGTCCATGCAGTGCCCCGGTAGGCCGGGTTGCCAGATCTTGGGAATCGGGTCACATTGGCCCCATGTTAGGGCGACGGCAACGCCGAGAGATAAATTTACGGAGATCATGATGAACCAGATCAGGAAACGCATCCAGGAGTCTTGGGCGATGCGCAGCACGGTTATGGCAAACGAGGTCTTGGACCAGAGTGCGGCGAGGATGGAGAAGGTGCCGGCCATGTTGGTTATTAGGAGGTAGTGGTTTATCACGGAGGGCAGGTTGTGCGGGTTGAAGAGGGAGGTGGGCAGGCCGAAGCCGAGGGTTGCGTTGTAGGTTATTAATGCTGAGGAGGTTGTTAGGGAGAGCTGTGTTTTTTGTTAGCTTCCATTCTCTTTCTTTTTTTTTTTTTTTGTTTTTTTTTTTTTTTTCTTTTTTTTTTGTTTGGTTTGGATATGGGTCTGGTGAGGTTTGGTTGTTGTGTTTCGTTTGTTTGTTTGGGTACCCCCTGAATGGGAAGAGGGGCCCCAAGTAGATGGGAAAGGGGTATTTTGATGAAAGAATGAAAGATGACATGACATACCCACGATATAACCAAAACATAATCATCCCACCACAACCCACGTCCTCGATACTTCTTGCAGTATATCCGCAACCCCAGAAACAGAGCTGCGAGAGCGGTAAGGAACCAGCAGCTAAAGTTGACTTCGAATACCCTTGACTTGTGATAATCTTCCTCTGGGATCACCTTGGTGTCTGTAGCAGTTGTGTCGTTGTCCGCCCTCCCCTCCAAGTGGATGCTGACCACGGCGTTAACAGCATGGTGAGCAGCCGCTTTGACATATGAAAAAGCGGCTGCTCCTACTGTTGAGGCCATGGGGAGGTTGTTGTTGTCGTTGTTGATGTTGTTCTGGTGTTGATGATGATGTTGTGCTCATGCAATGCAGTTTGATGATGTCGGTACTTGTGAGTTCATCTACCGGCATGAACCTTGCTTATGTCTCCTCCTTTCCCGATTATGCCAAGAAACGGGTTCGTCGTCTATCAAATGGAGATGTGGATGGGGATGGGGGTGTCAGATTGGGACGGGCGGGATAGGACGTGATGCTTGGGATAGCCAAAGTTTGGTTCGGGTCCGGTATGTTAGGTATGGTTGATGCAGAAGAGGGACCTGAGCTGAAGCTGACTTTCCACGTGTACCTAGCCAAGGACGGCCTGCTGGACGAGGTTGTAGGTCTAGACGGAAAGCAAGGCCAAGGGCAGCGGGAGTTGATGAGTCGGACCGAAGACCATAGCAGTGCTCAGTCAGTAAGTGTAAGAGAGACTTGCTGCTGCTTCTTGGTTATACACCAAGCTGTCTGTAGTGGGTAATTTAAACGAGAAGCGGGAGGGAACGTCGTCATGGAACAAAAACCAAGAAGAGAAAAAGAGACGAAAGCGGGAGATGTGAGACGGGAAGGACGGGAAGGACGGGAAGGAAAACGAGACCAGACGAGACGAGACGAGACGAAGAACGGAGAACGGGGACCACGAGGCGGCGGGCGGGATGGGATGACCATCAAGATATGGGGTAAAGCGGCCCGTCTTGTCAAGGTGCCTTGTCACCTTGTCAACATTTGAAGATGGGTATGGGCGGAGCGTAGCGACGGCGGCAGTGATCGGACATTGCTGGGTCGGGTCTGGTCTGGAAGCGATGAACAGAGAGAGAAAAGCGTGAAGGTCCGACCACCATGACCTAATGACCGGTTGGACGACCGGTGGGCGAGACCGTTTCGTCGTCGCGACCAAAAATGGTTAAGGATCCGCTCAACGTTCGGGGTTAAGACTCAAAAGAGGGGGTGGGGATTCGTAACAGTTTTTCCTCTTTTCCCCCTCTCCTCCACAGTCTGCATGTCCAGAACAAGTCTTGATTCCAATGTGACGCTGTTTTTTTATGTGAAAAAGTGACTGATGTTACCGAGCGCTGCCGCCGCTAGGTGTGAAATGTGAACCCGCGAGAGAAGGGTCCATACGGAAATGTCTCACTGTCCTCCAAAGAAAGCTGAAGAAGAAGAATGGCTGGGCTCGCTAGGCTGGTATGTACCTCGTTCTCCACTGGGCGAACTAGGCCAGACTGGGACATAAGACAGGGCAGACATCACAAGCGAGTCCGCGAGTTCCCTAATCTGGGTTGGGGTGTTTTCAACTTCCAAGAGTTTTTGTTGGAGTCCGTCACCATCCCCAGGTAGAACGGGGTACGGGGTTGTGGAATAGGGAAATTTGAGACCGAGACGAATGGCGGAGATGATCATTCATGATCATGAATAAATAGTGAACGCACGGGCGCCAACACCGCCTACACTAGCAGTTCTGGAAAAGAGGCACACGAAACCACACACCGACGACCCGGAACGGAATTTGATTTCCTGACGGAGACTTTTCCCTTCAAGACGACGAGGACAATGGAGAGAACGCAGCGGTACTCCCCGCCTTGGCGAACTCTGTCGCTGTTGACTTCTCTTTCCTTGCTTGGTTGGTTGGCCTGCTTAGTCTAGTTCTAGCTGCACGCTTGGCCTGTTCCTGGTCTCACATGTTGACGCGTGGATGTGTCTGTGCGTAAAAGTGATGGTGATGTGTGATCCGTGAGGTTGTATTTGGTGATTTGGGGATTTGGTGATTTCCAGAGGGGTGCTGAGGTGGTCCAAGGAAAACGAGTTCCTGCGATCGTTGGTTCGAACTGTCGGTGATGTTGTAGTCGGCGAATGTCGGATGGAGTATTGGTTTCGTTCTCGTTCTCGTTTTCCCTTTTGTTGTAGTGTATGTAATGATCGTGATGATGACGGGAGACTGATGAGACTGCTATAATGAGACGGCACACGGAAAAGTGAAATTCTCAGGAAACGGAATGCTCTCCGTGGACAAAGATCCGGCACTAACAATTCGCTTAAAGGGTGCTAATCACTGCGCACCGACACTGACCTGGTGCCCTCTTCCCAGTTCCCCCGCAATTGAATGAACCATCAACCAACCTGGAACCCCTGATCCCCTGATCTTAACCAAAACAACCAAAACAAATGGCGGCAGGCGGCGGGCGTGATGGATGGAAACTAACCCCTGAGGCCTGAAAGCCGCGAATAGCCTCGTCCCGTCCACATTCCGCGTATCCCGCCCGGACCCCAGCTTCGCGCCGCCCTTTTCTTTCTTTTCTTTTCTTTCTTTTCTCTTTGCTGTTCTCGCCATTCTCAGCAATTCAATCGTTCGTCGGTCATCGCAGTCGGTCATTGGTCATCGTTTGTTCCTGATTGCCCAGTGACCGGTCCCTGAAAAGAAATGATAGTTTTGACTTCGAGACCGGGATCATCACTACCGGTAGCTTCCCGGTGGCTTTTCCCCTCGTGGCTTTTCCCGTCCCGTGATTGATGGGATAACGAGCGCCGTTTTTTTTTACTCGTCAATCGATGTTGCATGAGGTGGTCAGATCTTTCACGTTTGCGTCGCTTCACACCATCTTTCTTCATGTGAAGTTTCCATTGGCACAAGAACCAAAAATGGTAATGTCCTCGCCAAGATTGAACTCAACGCCTCTCCAAGCATCTTGAAATGAAGCAGCCACATCAAACCGCAGTCTTCCTCCTCCGGGTAACCTTCAGCCAAAAGTCCTCCACCAGCCAAAAAGCAAAGTCGTGAACCTTCAACGGCTTCGAAGCATCGATCGGTGCCATATCGTAGCGTCTCAGCAGCTGTCATTTCACTCGTTAGCACCAAGATCATCACCAAACCCATTATGTTACAGGCATCCCCTTCCCTTCTTTTTCCTTCCCCCAACCCAGATATCTCTTCCGGCCAGTCAAGAAATAAAAATAAAAAAAGGAAGGAAAAAAAAACTCACCTCAACAAAAACCTTGTTCAACTCCAAAAACGCAATGTGCTTTCCAATACACTCATACTTTCCATTTCCAAAGATCAAATCCGCCGTCCTGCACATGCGCGCATATCTCGCCTCATCCTCCCTGGCCGCTGAAATCCACCGATCAGGATTAAAGATGTGCGCATCCTCGCCAAACACCTCCTTGTCGCGGCATAGATGCATAATGTTGAACGCCATCTGTGTACCCTCGGGCACGTAGTATCCGTGGATGGTGAGGCCGCCCTTGGGAACGCATTTGGGCATGGTGCCCGTGGCGGGTGGGTAGAGACGCAGACCTTCGCGGATGACGGCTTGGAGGTAGGGAAGGTGCATGGCTTCGGCGTTGGTGATGGGGGAGGAGATGCGGCCGTGGTCGGTGGCGGTGTCGATTTCGTGGCGGAGGGCGGCGAGGGCGGGAGGGTTGGTGATCAGTTGGAGCATGGTGAGGCGGATGGCGTTGGAGGTTGAGTCGGAGCCGGCGGGGCTGTGATTGCGGGTAAGTATTTCGAAAGGAGGTGAAGTGGGAAGAAGTAAGGGAGAAGTGAGAAGGGGAAGGGAACCTACAACTCGAGCATGATCTCGGCGAGAAGCTCGTCGCGGGTGAGTCCAGAGTCGATGAAAGCTTGCATCATGTCGTCTCCTCGTCCGGCGTATTTGTCCTTCTCGAGAGCATCGAGACGTTTCTGGATGCGCTTGCTCGTTACCCTGCTTCTCGTCAGTCCTTTTCCTCTCTCCAACATCCATCACTCGGGGACAACTCACCCAATCATCCTCCCAAACCCAACCTCATCTCCGTCACTCCCCAGCAGCGCACTGAAAGGCCAGGACCTCAAAATCGTGTTGATGGCAGGATAGGCCATCAGCGTCGGCACCCACGGCACAAACTTGTCATTGACCTCGATGAAACCGTCCACGTCCTTGTCCTGTTCCAGATAACCCGAGGCTTCGGAGCTGTTGAGCTCCGTCATCACGTCAATGGTGAAGTACTGGGCCTTGTGGGCGAGCTCCATGGGCCGCAGTTCGGTGTCGGTGGAGATGTACTTGCGCTCGATAAGGTTGATCCATCGCTCGAGGTTGTTGTCGACGCGGCGCTCAAAGATTCCGTTGTCTTTGCCGTAGGTGTACTGGTGTTTGAGAGTCGGGGTCAGTGGATGTATGGGCATGGAGGTGAGAGATGGGAGTGAGAGATGGGAGTGTTACTTACACCCTTGGCAAGCTTTTCCCTCAACACTTTCCGGTCTTGCTCGTTGGTCATGGAGAACAGGTTGTGCACGTCCTTCAGGTGCTTGCTGCCCTGGTACCACCACGCCTTGTTGAAGCCACCGCGGACGGCGTTGACTACGCGCGCGGTGTCCGCGTCGCCGTACATGAGTGTGTCGGGGGCGATGCGGAAGAGGGGGCCTGTCAGTGCAGAGAGTCAGTTCTTCGTTGTTTTATTCCTCTTCCCTTGCTGCTCCTTGGGAGTCCGTACCATATTGCTTCTGCAAAGCATGATAGTCATACGCCATCCTTCCGTTCCAGGCACACTTCACCAGAGGGAACCTGGTGAACGAGGACAGGAAGGGGCCGGGGATGTGACGGAGCTTCCACCATTGTCGGATATCGCTGATGACAAAGTAGGAGAGGTAAAGCACCACTCCCGCAACAATCAGAGCGATTGGAGTCTCCGAAGCACTGCCAGCCAAGCCAGTGACATGGTCTAAGAGAGCCATGTTGTTAAGTGTTTCTGATCAAGGGCTTGGGTCAGAAGACTTGCCGTAAAACCTTAAAGAGAAGGACAGGCAGCGGAAGGAGGGCAGATGAGGGTAAATATGGGTTCAACATGAGGTAAAGTCAAGCCTGGGAGATGTACCCTCTCGGTTGAGAAGGGTTGCAATCTCTTCATGACGGATCTTCAACGTGCTACTACTGCAGTGAGAATTAAGACGACTCTGTAGGTCTTGGCGACTGGGATCGGAGTTTGGAACTATATCAGTATCAGTCGACTTGTCGTTGACCCCTCTACTTCAATTCCATGCTCTATCATGGCTTTCTCTTTGGCTCATCACCGCCCGGGAAGAGCGTGTGAAGGAGTGTTGGCATTGGCATTGGCATTCTCTTTCTGCTAGTCCAAGTTCAAGTTCCTGATAATACAGGCAACACACTGCACGGATCCTGTTGTGTAATGGTGATACTTGATTATCACCACTTTCGAAACTGCTTTCAACATTCACTACACATACATCAAAGAAGGGTTCATGGCTCATGAATAATCACCGAGTGTCCATTGGCGCCCCATCATTGCCGTCCGCAGGTTGATTGTACGATGGGGCCATGCCAGTGTTGCCATTACTTCACAACCGGCAGAACCATTGCCATGAAAGGTTGCATTATAGCTTTGACGAGTGCGGACGGGCGCCTGTGATATCCGTGGAGCGTTGCAGTAGGGAAGTCAGAAATACTGGGCAAGCAGCCGATGAAGCTGTTGATAGGGTGCGTTGATAGCAGGGCAGGATCCCTGACTCGGCAAATGCAAGTCGTTGAAGCCGCGGTTGCGGCATTGAGGAACCCGCTCCGTGCCGCTTCGGTCGGTGGTGGCCGGTGGGTAACATCGACCTTTTCTGTACGTAAATCCCTTCTTCTTCTTGAGGCTTCGAACCGCATGACAAGGCAACATTCTATGGAGAGGAGGTTGAAGATCGCGGGCTCCGTTCCTGTCGTGTTGAAGTCGAAATAGGGAACGATCATGATTGAGGGCATGGGGAATTTAGCTAGGTGAGAGCGAAAGCGAGACCGTTTTGCATCAGATAGTGCCTGTGAAGCTTGTGAATAAGCCCTACGCTAGTTGATTTTCAGGGGTGTCGACTGGAGTCTTGGTCCTTCTAGCGGTTCGAGAGTCCATGATTCCAGTGACGCCAAGATGGCAGTGCGTTTGGGGGGGGGGGGGGGGGGGGTGGTGATGATGGTGGCAAGCAGTGATCGATAAGTTGTATGCGACCCATCGGAGCTGAGACTTGGAAAGAAGAGAGTGAGAAGGAAGAAAGAAAAGTGGGAGGGCTGTCGAAAGCAAAAGAAGGGCAAATTGGCAGGAGATATGAGACGGGAGGTATGGTGTTGAAGCGAACATGAACGACGTTCGTCGGGTGTGCGTAAGAAACCACAACCCTCCCGTCCACTTCAGTTCCATGCCAGCCAGAATTGACCACTAAACACCCCTGTACCATTCATAATTGCCCGTCAAACGTTCCTGCCTTCTCAAGGCTTTCATCTCTATGGACGGTGATCAACAAAGGGACTTCGGGACCGAGAACACTTTGGGCTGGATCGACGAGAATCATGAGGCGAGGGTGCTAGTAATGTAAATCGATGAGAGTTGCAGATCATGGTTGTTTGAAATAGGTGAACAAATAAATGCTTTGCTCAAGATATCGCCAGACCGACCAGCAGTTGAAGTGCAAGATCAAAAATAACGAATCTGTTGCACGTGGATGAGTTGAAGCGATGCAGTGATGCATCGATGAACGGCTGCATGTCTCAGTGCCCCCCGCCCCGTCCCGTCGCGCTGTGCTGTGCTGTGCTATGCTGCGCCGTCCTACAACATCCAACGTCCTCTCGCGACAACGACAACGAACTTACACACAGAGCCAAACCACATTTCATTCCCGACAATTTTTGATAGAAACCCAGACGCAGTAAGATACTTGAAAAAGGGAATGCCGTACCGCAGGATGAAAAAACAGAAACTTGGATTGTGAACGTCCGTATACACCTCTGCAGGGATATAAAAGGGTAGCGTGGTACAAGTTGCCTACAGGAAACAGGGGTAGCAAAAAGCAGAACCAGCTATTTCTTGTGAGAAAATTGAAGTTCTTGCCATTTGCCAAAATCACGCTACCCTTTTATATCCATGCAGAGGCGTAGTAGCTGGTTAACACAAAAGACAAGGTGGAATATAGCTATAGAACTGTGGCCCACTTCCAACAAAATCAATCACTCGGCGTGGTGGCAGAGT